CTGAAATAACAGTTTAACCCTTCACTATATTCACAAATAATATTATATTTGCACATTAAGAGGTTATTGGTGGATTTGTCAACTCCGTCAGCTTATAGGTCAACTCCGTCAGACATAGAACCTGACGGAGTTGACGTCTGACGGAGTTGACGAAAGGGCATGTATTTTCCCGCCAAAACATGTATTGTACACTGCATCTAGGTAGTTTTTCCTCAGTTGCTAGCTGTCCCAATAACCTCACTAAAATGCTTAAATTCAATCCACTATGGTTTAAAAAAAGTATCTTAACAGAAAGATGGTATTGACATGGTGCAGCTGTGACCATAGGAATATTGACATTGTTTGTCTAAAATATAAAAAAATGTAAAATGTACCAGAGCATGTGTGGTAGTGCTGCATTCACCACAGACAGGGAGATGAAAAGGGGTCCTCAAGGATATACCTGACCATGCTATTTCCTGATTTAAAGAGCTTTATGAAAAAATCTGATGGAGTTGACAGAAACTGAGGACACAACTTTAATAGGCAGATATTTATGGAAAATATTGTTTGATGTATTCATGCATTGTTTTTTATATTTATACCCCTTATTTTTTATTTGATATATATGTTTTCACAATTGTAGAGCTTTTTAAAAGTTTTTTTGGGATGGTTAATATTGTAACCTCTTGCTGAGGACAAGTGCAATAACATGGACCATCTAACCACAGACCATACATTTTAACAACTTTTCCCCAAAAAGATAAAAAGGTTTATTCTAAAAATCAGATAGGTATATACAATTCCTTTAGATTTAACTTTGTAAGTATGTCATACATGATGAATTTCTTAATTTTTGCTATAAATTAGACTTTTCTTTGTGGGACATGTTTTGTCCCGACTCTCAAGAATCAGTGAGCTAATGATGTCTCGATAAATTCTTTCCCCCACAATTTTAGGGTTATTAAATAGTCCGCACTGCATAAATTATAAATTAAATTAGATTAATCCTTATTAAAGCTACAAGCGTTCTTTAGTCAAAGAGTAGTTAGTAGTTTTCTCTGTTGCCTTTGTTCTTTGGTTAACTTTACTGACAGACAGAATTAGTGGCTACTGTCACTTTAAGATCTACAGCTGGTGACAGGATCTCACGCGTCTTATTCTATGGTCTTATTCTCTCACTACTCTTTACTTCCATTTAAGGTTTTATTTAACTCATTTAAGGTTAATAATGATTGATTCTTGTGAGGATACTCGACAAAACGGACATTTTGGCATAAATGTGTGTGTTATTGTTCGTTCAAGCGCGAAAGAGAATTCGATACTGGTTCGCGACTTTGTGCCTCGTGTGTGTGTGAGGAGGACATTTACTGAAGTGCGTTCTCGTTTGTCTTGTTGCCCATTAATGGTTTAAAGCATTTGGTGGACAAACTAATAACTAATAAGAGCGTGATCATAACCCTAGCTAAAGAATCACAAAGAACGGATGCAGCGTTAATTGTGTTAAATATTTTAAAACATTAAAGCTGAAAAAAAAAATCCCATACGTTAACAGGACTAACTTTACTTGTCATACATTGCTGACAGAAAATGAAGCGGTTTAAAGTGGACTCGTTTTCATGGTAGCTAGGCCTACACTACACCTAATGTTTTTTTTAGTAAGCTACACAGAATGTTCTACATTAAATATTTAACTAACAGTCTGAAGTTACCTAGCAGCAGTGTATGTTAATGTTAGCTCAGTCAACATAAGGCTAACATCAAAAGGTGTAGACAGAAAATATGATTATGCTGACCTGAGCTAATTTACGAAATCAACCAACTCACATCTCCTTTCTTTCTTTTCATCCATGATGACATTAAAGTCACCTGATGTTGTTTCTGGAGTTCTGCGCTCCATGCTTTCACCGACGACGCTAACGTGAGGTATGGATGGATGGATCTCAATCACACTGTTGCCAGGACCCGCCCTGCTCTGCTTCTGATAGGCTTGTGACGTTAGTTAGAGCTGCGCTCCTCTCATATGATTGGTAGGTGAAATCAATTGACTCGAAAATATTAAACCGCATTCAAGTTCCCAGTTTCAAATGTAGCCGCGCGGTATGCGCGCTCATAATGGAAGCGGCGCACTCGTTTTTTCCAAACGCGTCCGCGCCGAAAGTGCCTCCTAATTTGCTGTGTAGGTGTGCAGTAGTGATGCGCGGATCGCGGTTATATCCGCGGGGGTACTGTGGATAATACGCAGATCGGGCGGGTCAAGTAATAAAAATAACATTGATTAATCGCTGGTGGGTCGCGGGTGGATATGATAAATCATTAATAACGTAAATCTTAACTACATTCTCTAAAATATGAGCATGTTTAAAACATACTTTTTCCGCCAGGTGTGTTCGAGAAGTCGCAACACACACACGAGGAAGTTTCAAGGGAGTAAAGCCTGTGTTTATGCCATTAAGAAGATGAAACTGTCAAATAAATTGTTTTAAATAAATGTTCATTTAAAAGCAGCATTCCTCAGTGTATTATGTTACCATTAGAGATGCGCGCATCAGCTCTAGCGTCGCCGAGTCCGCTTTTGAAGGTGATCAATCCATTTATCATCCACTTAACACATAAGAATAATTGTAATTTGACCATTGGGTGCGGGTCGGGTGCGGATTAGAGGTCTGCACGGGCTTTAAACTTAAGCCCGAACCCGACCCGAACATTCTGGTTATATTTTAAGCCCGACCCGAACCCGAGGTCCGTTTCTCACAGTAAATAGCTTTTTTTTTTGTTCCAATATGCTGTAGCCTATTTTATGATTGCTTACCACAATAATTTAAAAAAATAGGCTACATGTAGCCTACAAACACCGTTTCACCAAGGCACAGTGGCCCCCTCATCAGTCAGCACACAAGAAAAAAAAGAAAAAGCACGGACTTACTAATTACGAAACGATGTGGTTGAACAGGTGAAACAGTCACAAATTCCCCATGAACTCAAACATTACACTTCAAAACAAAGTTTGCGCAGTTGCACAACTATTTACATAAATATAGCCTATCCTTCTCAGCACGAGTTATGAAGGAAGAGAACAGCATCGACAGTTGATGGTTTCAGCGCGTCCTCTGATTGCAGTGCTGTGACTGAAATAGCGCGTGCGGGACCACATGCACAAAAAAGTTTTGTAAAATGATATATGATAAAAATAAAAATAATTAATATATCATTTTACAAAACTGTTTTGTGCATGTGCTCCCGCACACACTATTCCGGTCACAACACCGCAATCAGAGGAGGACGGCTGAAACTGCGCACATCTACTTTCTCTCTCGCGTGCTCATATAATTACGATCACAACACAGCAAGCAGCCAAGCACACGGCACGCAAACTATATGTATAGCCTATATAGTTTTACTAAGTTACAAACCCGTGAGTTTTTCAGGACCCGTCGGGCTCGGGTCGGGTAGGAGACCTCTAGTGCGGATATCTAAATCAGAGAAAATTATTGTGGCGGGTGGATGATTTGTTTTTGGCTGCGGATTCGGGTGACGCTGATCCGCGCATCTCTAGTCTGCAGACATCTGAGTGGCCAACCACACATTGCCACACAGATGGCTCCAGCACCCTCACTCATGCACTCAAGTTATTGGTAGGGGTGGTTAATCTGTCTGATTTCCCGATTCGATTCGATTACGATTATTGAAGTCCCGATTCGATTACAGTCGATTTTCGATTATTAACGATTCTCGATTAGCGATTATTGATTTTCCATTTCACAACAGTAAACTAAAATACACTAGACCAACATATGATTATATTAGCAGCAACATTTTGGTATTAATTGCACTTTTTATTTGTTTGATATTCAATGAAAATGTATTGATGGTTAGTGAGGACATACAAACATGCTTGTTGTCTACTTCTTAGGCAACCCATTATAAATAAATACATTTTTTAAAGCAATTGTGTTGCATTATAATGCAAAGGCACCTGGTTCTATTAACTGACAGCATTAAAAGGCATTTTGTGATTTCCTTCAATTGAAAATCTTTGAAGCAAGTTTGGGGGACTCTAGGGCACCCAATTCAGAGAATCACCCAGAAATTCAAAAGAACAGCATTTATCTGAAATAGAAAGCTTTTGTAACATTAAACAATACCGTTCAAAAGTTTGGAGTCGGTAAGAATTTTTATTTATTTTTTTTGGGCGAAAGAAAAAAGAAATCATTACTTTTATTCATACAAATCGATTATCTGAATCTTTTGTGTGTGTGTGACTATAAATACGTTGCTTTAAAAGTAAATGACCCATAAAGAATTAACGTACAATATATTTTATTAACATTGCAAAGAACCAACAGGAAAATAAATGTGTGCCTGAACTAGGAGCATAAGTTACTTGTAGTAAATTCTTTCCTCTGACTGGAAACGTGTCAAATGGCTTCTCATATTTGTCGTGTTTCCGTCGTTAGTTTTATTCTACAAAGCTTACAACTAGGGTTGCTCTTGTCCAGCTCCTTTCCCCCTTCAACTTCAGAAGCCAAAATATTTCCACGTCAGCTAACCTAACAAGGAGGGTGTTTGGATTTAGCGCGCTCAGCCATCGCGTCTCTGTTATGTGCACGCCACAGACGGTCCGGCCACTGCACTTCCGCGCTTCAGAGTTCCGTCTTTCGCGTTCCGTCAATATTACGTTATTATAAATATATATAAAACTGTTTTTTTGTTTTTTTTGAAAATCGATTTTTTTTACATTTGTGAATCGATTCAGAATCGTCCACGTCCGCATCGCGATGCATCTAAGAATCGATTTTTTCCCCCACCCCTAGTTATTGGCCAGTCATTTTCACTGGTGCGAAACAATCAGGCTTCAGTACTTAAGGAGGGTATACCCCATCACGTTAATTTGCATTGCCAAGAGACCGTCCCGAAAAGGAGCCACCTTAATTAGGACATTCAGGACTCTCTTTAAAAAATCATTCATATCTGTTGACATTTTAATAAGGACTGAGTTCAGCTTTGAGAATAAAACCAACCTGTTTGTTCCTCAGTTTCTTCTTGTTTCACACTGAAGGTTTCTTCAATCTTTATTTCTTCACTCTCTTCTTTAATAAACGCCATCTTCATAATAGTATGTCAGGTGGATCTTTCACTTCACCAGGAGTTTTTCTGTGTTTGGACACTCTGTCATGATTAAGATGACAATAATTAACAGAAAAATAAATAAATCCACACTAAATCTCTGTGTGTGTCTCAATCAGCTCTAGTTCAGTAGTTCAGTGCAGTGGTAAGAGTCAGACAGAGTGAGAGTTAATGGACTTAAAGTTGACATGAAACGGAAGTTGTTTTTCCTATTCCTATCGAAACTCTTAAAGGGATAGTTCACCCAAAAATGAAAATTCTGTCAGTAATTATTCATCCTCATGTCGTTCCAAACCCGTAAGACCTTCGTTCATCTTCGGGACACAAATGAAGATATTTTTAATGAAATCTGAGAGCTTTCTGTCCCTCTATTGACAGCTACGTCATTGCTACTTTCAAGGCCCAGAAAGGTGGTAAAGACATAGTCAAAATATAGTCTGTGACTACAGTAGTTTAACCTTAATATTGGGAAGCGATGAGAATATTTTGTGCGGAAAAAAAGAAAAAACGACTTTATTCAACAATCTCTTCTCTTCCACGTCATTCTCCTACGCTGTTGACGGTAAACAGTGCAGCGCTTCTGGGTTCTACGTCAGTATGTCGGCTCATTATTGGATAGCTCCTGGGTCATCACACACGACCAGCATCGGCCAATAGTGAGCCTACGTTCTGACGTAGAACCCAGAAGCGCTGCACTGTTTACCGTCAACAGCGTAGGAGAATGACGTGGAAGAGAAGAGATTGTTGAATAATTGCGTTATTTTTTCGGGGGGTTTGCGCACAAACAGTTCTCGTCGCTTCATAATATTAAGGTTGAACCACTGTAGTCACATGGACAATTTTAATGATGTTTTTACTACCTTTCTGGGCCTTGAAAGTTGCAATGACGTAGCTGTCAATGGAGGGACAGAAAGCTCTCAGATTTCATCAAAAATATCTTCATTTGTGTTCCTAAGATGAACGAAGGTCTTACGACATGAGGTTTGGAACGACATGAGGGTGAGTAATTAAAGACAGAATTTAAATTGAGTGAACCAACGCTTTAAGAGGGAGAAGCGAAGCACCGCGTTGCTGCACGTTTTTAAAACTGGAACACATCATTTTCTCTGAGTGTGTACACACCAGCAGCGCCATTCGGCCCCCATTAGACTTTTCCATTCAGATAGCTACGCCTCGAACAGGGTTTCCTTATTCAAACACGCTGTTGAAGGGAATGGATTTCATCTGGTTGAGGTAAGTTTTTATTTTTTTAAATAAGCTGCACACCTAAATGTAAATGTTCCTAAAACACTAAAGCATGTGGTTATATTTTTAACTAGCTCAGACAGCTGGTTAGTAATCTTCATAGTTTAATCACCCGCTAACATTTGAAGGGTAAATTTCGAAATAAGGGACGCAAGGTATTTGCAACATTTACAGGGGCTAGCCGATGATTTTATTGCCGTCCGAATCCACAATGAGAGTTTTTCTCCCACCACCCGCTTAAAAATCGCCGCCTGAATTACTTTTTTTTTTTTTTTTTTTTTCACAAACACCAAGGTCATGTGGTCTTTTAATTGACCTCCGAATTTACATATCTGAGTTTACAAGAGATCAATTCAAAATTCACAGTTTAAGTCCTTTTTGACCACTGCGGAGCACCGTAGGGTAACTGTTGTGCTTCTCTGTAATTTGCATGCATTTTAAAGATTTACACTTTTATCACTGAAATTTTTGAAAGTATTTAAAAGAACAATATATCGTCACTGCTCCACCTCAGTGAGTGTGAGCTGTTAAGAACAAATTGGAGAAAGAGAAAATAAGGAAGTAAACATTTGAAATGGGTTGATACTTTGGCAGCAATATTTGCAATACAATTTTACAATGTGTATTATATAGATAAAAAAATAAACCAAGCAACTTTATATATATATTTTTTTATTTATTATTATTATTTTAAGCAGTTTTATATTTACCTCACGTAAATAAGAGGCTCTATTAACTTATTTTTTGCTAATTTCCATGTTTTTAAAATGCCATCCATCAATTTAAGATAAAATGCAAGACAGAAAATAATTTCAACTATAACATGTCAAATTAAATTGAAAAAATATTAAATTTAACTTATTCGGTTATGTTTAATTAAATGGTATATTATGTTAGCCTACATGTTATAATAAATGTATAACTTAAATACAAACTTGTTCTTATTATTTCAACCATATGACTTTATTTACAGCAGAAAATCATTTGACAAATTTATTTTTAGTGACCACGTGAGAAACAATGACCGAATATGGTTTATTTATATTTCGTGCTGACTTTAAATGCCCTGATCAGCCAATATAACACAAAATTAAGAATGAATAAAAGAACAAGTTATAGAGACACTTCATAGTAATTAATTATTTACGTTTGATAATTGTAGATTATTTAGTAGTTAAAGTACACAATATATTTAAAGTACACTTTAATGAAGACATTTGTAAAAGTTGTCATAACACGTTTTGATCAGCAGTCTCGTCGGCGTGCGGTGATTCGAGCGCTTTGAATCACTGAATCATTTTACGATGTAATTGATTCATTTGTCGCGGCGTTTCGAAAATATCACTTCTACGTCGCGACTTACCCGTGGCCGAATTCATGTTTAAACTGGCCATAAACCGATTCACGGTATAGGGAGCGAAATGAGATGCACATTTTTTGTAGCTTGTTTGGATGCGTTTCACTCACTAAATAACGTTCGTTATTGTTAGATAAAGCCGTTTAATGTTACATTCAATAATACATAATTTACAGTACATCGCGTGTGAAAAAAACATACATAAAATTGATTTAAGTTTGCATTGATTAACACAATAAGCTTTAAAACACCAACCTTTCTTCAGCCGAATCACAACAGATGCAGCAGAGCGGCGCGTTCCTATGACGTCATATCGCCAGAACAAAATAAAAGTCCCGTTCAAATGCTGCTGTCTAAAATCACAAAAAAGCTTTGAAGATAGGTGTGTGTGTGTGTGTGTGTGTGTGTGTGTGTGTCAAAGGAATTCAGTTACATACCACATTAAAATCTGAACTGTGGCCATATATATATATAGCACAATAGTTTATATGTAAAGTATATGTTATTTGCATTCCTATTGTCTGGCCCTCTGTTACATGACAATGATTAACATTTGTCTGCAAATTTAGGATTTTAAAACATACAGTATAACACGTGAAAAAGGTAATAGAAATAATAAACAAAAATAAATAAATAAAAATGTGCTGCCACATTTCAAAGCCACGATGTACAGAACATCACACAATATAGAACAAAATGTATAGACATTTTTGAAACAATAAAACTAAGAAATAACATAAATAACCGCAAAAAGGCCACACTGATCCACATGGATCCATTGAAAAACAATCAAAAATTAATTGACAGGATTAAATTAGAACAGAATATACCTTTCTAATAAATAAAAAACGAAATAAGTCGGAATCAATTCACAAGGTGGAGAACAAATGTGTGCATAATGCCTAAAGTGCAGGAAACATATATTCAAAACACAAGTCACAAATAGTTAAATATATAGCCTAGTATAGCCAGAATTGCCAACTTTGTCTTTATAACTGCAGAGAAAACAATAAACGCTAGAAATGGCAGTCTTTTTAGCTAAACATGTTCACAGCATACAAAAATCAAATTAGAACCGGCTGAAATGTTTTGAAATCACTTGTACCCATACCTGATCAGAAAACAAATCCAGTCTTTCACTCTGCCTGTGTCCGTTTGAGTCTTTTCAAATTGTGTGTGCGTGAAAAAAGGACATTCTAAAATGCTTAATGTCCTAAAACTGTTATATTAAAACATCAAATACTGTACACACCTTATTAATAAAGCATACCATACAGCGTACAGAAAAATAGATGAGCCCTGAATATGAACGCAACATGTCTAATTACACGTTAAGCATTTTCCTCCCATAGAAAACCGTTATTAAAATGAACTGAATGATCCAGTGAAGCACACTCTCACATCAATCTCTCATAGTCTAATTCAGGTAACACTCTCTGAATTTCCTGAATGCATTCAGCATCCATACCTAGAATGAAGAACACACTGAGTGATGCAAGCAAACAGTAGGGAGGTCCAAGATGTTGTACACTGGCAGTGGATAATAATCTTGCAACCAATCTGCATTAATATATGCATATTCATTTTCTGACTGGCATAGGTGATAGATTCCAAGATCAACTAACAGTAAAGAGTGATGTACCAAAACAACAAAGTGCACCTGTTTCTCATCAGTAAGTATGAGGGATATTTTCCCAAAGACCAGGTTGTCACCAATGTGCTTTAAAACAACAGCAAGGCCTTTGGTGTACTTGCTCCCTTTGTAAATCACTGATGAAACCTCAGAGGTTTTGTTTTTATCAATATCAACTGTCTTTAACAGCATCTGTATATCCCCATTGTATGTCTGTTCATCAATTTCATTTGCTTCACCAGCAACCTGAATGGAAGGTGGGAATAACTGACCACAACCTAGATATGACTGAAGAAGCTGGGGTCTTTCTGTCAGTGTCTTACTTAAGTGTAAAAAATTGTGAAGCTTTCTGGCACACTCCTTGAAATAGGTGTGTTTGCTTTCAAACCTTAGTGTCCACAAGCGTATTAGTGGCCCAAATTTAAGGATTGGGTCAGGATAATGCAACAAATAGTGATGCTTTGGTTTGAGAGGGTGGTCAGGGAACATGCTGTTCCGTAAATATACATATTCTTCGAGCAAAACTTTCAGATATGCGACCTCATTCTGGTGAATTTTTGGAGCACAGATGAATGCAGTTATTTCCTTTATCTTAAGGCACAACTGGCAAACCTCACTTTCCATAGGATTTTTGATCCATCTACCAACATAAACTGGTAATAATCGTAAAAGACACCAATTCTGTGTGGCTGACCCACTGAGCTTTTTAGCATTTTCCTTAATCTCACATGGTTTGTTGTGTGAGTCACTACCCAAACGTTTTGTCTGTGCGATGGCCTGATCTATCTGGTCATAGGTGAAATGTTTTACAGAATTTACCAAATGTTCAATATAGAGGGCCAAATCATTTGCCACTACTCCCTCAAAAACGTCATGTCCAAGACATGGAGGAAGACCGCTACAGACATGAAAAGACTTAAGTGAGTTGAAACAGGAATTAAATTTGATTCCATCTATTAAATTATGGTCAGAGGTCAGTTGTTGTATACTGTCGTTATAATTTGTAGGTGTTCGTGGAGGGCCAAAAACCAGTGGCGATTTGGCAAATGTCTCTCTGTTAATCAAACAGTACCTTTCTGCTACTGCTGAAATTATCTGTGAATCCACTAACAGAGTGGGAACCGAGATTATCGCCACATATAGCAATCAGTGACGCCTTAAGGTACCTCCCATCTTCCAGCTGAAAGCCTGAATCCTGCAGGTCTTTCAGGTCAGCAATAAGACGGGAAAATATCTTGACGTACAACCTAGAAGCTTTGCGCAGTTCCACTACGTGAAATGTCGAGGCCCACAGGAAAGGAAATGAATAGTTGAAATAAAGTCGTTGTTTTTGTTTGTTTTTTTGCGCACAAAAAGTATTCTCGTTGCTTGATAAACTTAAGATTGAGCCACTGTAGTCACTAGGACTATTTTAACGATGTCTTTCATTACTTTTCGGCCGTCCAGTTTCGATCCCTTAAGAAGCCTATGGAGGAGTGATCCAGCTCTCAGATTTAATCAAAAATATCTTAATTTGTGTTCCGAAGATGAACGAAAGTCTTACGGGGTTGGAACAACATGAGGATGTAATCCTCATGTTGTGGCGAAGCACTGCTACTTGGGCGGAGTGATAACCGCAGCACCTGAGACGCGCCGTGGTGAGGAGCAGAGAGCGCGTCTCATGTGCTGCGGTTATCACTCCGCCCAAGTAGCAGTGCTTCGCCTTCAGAGAATATAGTTCCCAGTATTTATACTGTTAAAATATGTCTGTGTCTCATGTGACTTTGTTTTTTTGTACACTCTGTGACTATACAAATCACAACATGTAAATAGGAAAATGTTTGCGTTATTTTGTCACTTATTTGAATTAGTATGCTAGCTGCAACCATTTACATCCAGTCTTTGTGCTAAGCTAGGCTAGCGGTGGGTGCGTCAAACAGACTTATAGCACGCACGGAGATGAAAAAGGTATGTATGAACTTATCTAACTTTGGGGGATAAGGTGAATAGGCTAAAGTCCCAAAAAGTCGGAGTGTTCCTTTAAAGAAACAAAGTGCAATGACCACAAATCTCCAGTAGAGGTCCATAGGGACTTATTTAATTTTCACTTCATTTTTCTTGATGCTACAACTTCTCCTCACAACTTTGATATTTATTCTGCTTTTGCAAATTATTATACATACATTTGCAGAAACGTTACAAGTCACCACTAAAAGACATGACTGTAATCACATACTATTTATTTCAGAAAATGTTTTATCACAAATGATTCATTTTTTTAGAACAAGAGATTTTAAAAAAAATAAATAAAACCAATATACTACAAAACAACAGCAACAATAAACTAATGAACATGAGTGAAGGGTACACAGAACAATAAAACTTTTTTTATATAAATAACATGGCTAATAAAAAAGAGAAAGAACAAGCACAATGCAAAACACTGAGAATGATACTACGTCACATGAATTCGTTTTTGCAAATCCATGCACATCTGGTAGACTTTGACAGTGTGAGCAATGCAGATGTTCTTCTTGCAGTGTGTGCAGTGCCCTCTGGACTTCACATCTTTGCTCCGTGGACACACCTGACACCGCTTTCTTTTTGAGGATGGAGGTTGGGCGAAGGGTCCGGGAGCCTCTTCGCTGTCTGAAGGAGGATCTTGCATTTTTCTCAGTAAGTTGAGGCTGAGGCTGAGGCTGGTGTTTTCGGATCTTCATGTGAGGACTCACCAGAGCTTTTCCAAGCCGTTCAAGAAAGAGCCTTCTCTGGAAACACTTTCCTCTCTCCCATGCAGGATTTATCTCTTTCCACACCACAAAAGCATTGATGGTTGACACGTCAATCATGGCTGAAAAAACAGGCATTGGCCAACGAGCTGATTTTCTCTTGCAGCTGTATGTTGCAATCATCTGCAATATTACAAAGACATTAAGACACACAAATTAGTACATTCGCTGACAAAAGAAATGCATGATACATTTAGCAAATAATGCATATAAATATCAAATCAAATTTGGAAATACCTTGTCAATGTTGTCAACTCCTCCTTTGCAATGATTGTAATCCAAGATTAACTTGAGGTTTCTTGTCCTCCCTGTCTCTTACTTTGGCCTCCTTGTGGCAGGTGCTCATCAGTAACACATTTTTGCCTTTTTTGGGACAATAAGACAATGTGTGTCAGTGAAGGCAAAGGCAGAAGAAAAGCGATCTCTGCCTTTTGTTGAAAGAAGAGCAGGTGGAAGCTCAGGCTTGTTTCTTCTTATTGTCCCAACCATTGTCAGCTGTTTTTTTAGGAGCACCTGGCCAAGGGCATGTGACGTAAAAAAATTGTCACAGGTTATTGTGTGTCCCTGTCCCTGAAGACCAGCGGTGAAGTCGAGGACCATGGCACACACACCCTAATTTATTTTCAGGCTGTCCATCTAGACGCTTCCCTGTGTACACCTGCATATTCCAAGCATAACTTGTTCTGGAATCACATGCAGCCCAGATCTTGATTCCATACTTTGCAGGTTTGCTGGGCATATACTGTTTGAAAGCACATCTTCCTCTGAATGGAATCAAGCACTCATCTGCAGTTACGTCTGGGCCAGGGTTATACATCAGAGGGAGACGCTCGACCCACAGATTCCAGATGTAACGGATTGCAGCCAGCTTGTCAGTGTCAC